GCAATATCACCGTCGACATTTCGGCCAACAATACCAGCCTGGTGACCTCCGAAGCCGTGTCCAACAATATGGTACATGGTGGGAGTGGCGCCTGACTCTCTGTTTACCCAGTTAATGAAGGCTCCCACAGCTTCTCCAGATGTGATAGTGTTCCTAATAACGGTCCTGTAGTCGATGGAACTTGCACCAATACTCCAGTCTACCACGATGATGTTGACATCTTCAGCGGCAAGGAACACTAGGGACACAATACTAAGTTTTTAAAATAATCCTGTCATAATACCAATAATGAAATTCATTTCATTAATTACCATATTAATGAAATAATCATCATCATCATCATCAACAGCCGAAAGACGTCCACTGCTGGACAACGTCCTCCCAAATTAATGAAATCATTTCAGTGAAATGGAAATTCTTAATAAGAATTACCTTTACATTTTTTTATGATTCAATACACACCTGGAATAAGGACACTATTAAAGTTAGCGGTAACTGATTCCAACCATCCATGGATAAGAACAATTGTGCGTCTGTCCTTCCTGTAGTTAGTAGTCTGAAGAAGTGAGGGATTGTTCAAAATTAAGGGCTGGCTGACCACTGGATTATCCCTGTAAGAAGAAGAGGAATTTGGTATGTATATTTTTAATTGCCATAGGTTTATAGGTTATACATAACCCTAAATGGCTGCCGCGTTGGCCGAATGGTCGCAAGTGCAACTGCCGGGCAAAAGGTGTCGGTTTCGATTCCCGCGTCGTGCAAAGTATTACTATGTTTAAAAAAAATCTCAGTGGTAGCCTGAAGTCTGGAATTGTACCCGGTATATAACAATAGGCTACCCTATTAAATGGGACTCATAACACAAATAGTGAAAACTGGGTGTTACCTTTTGTGTAAAAAGACGTGATGTTGTTATTATGTTTGAATCAAAATTACCTTGTAAACAAATGGTATACATTTGTTTGGGTTGGGTCATATCTGGCTCCCGTACTAACGTAGGTCGCATATTGCTCCAGGTGTTCTAAGTCAAGACTTTGTGGCAGAGGATTTGGAAGGCCTGGAAAGGAACATGGTAATGCATAATTAAAATATTCGCCCATTCCATTAACTGAGTACCTACAAGACCTTGGTCTTTGGTCCTTATCATGTCATGCATTTGTTAGTAGTATCACGGAGTCTGGAAATTTCTCGTGGTATTATTATCTTATGACATAGAAATTCCATTCCATTTATATTGCATTTAATACATGCTATCCCTTAAGAACATCACCCGAAATGTAGATAAGTATTTTTTTTTGAGAAATTAAAATCATCCAATCATTTCTCCCACCTTGGGTTAGGTGAGAGGGAGTGTCAGACTCTTACCGACTAAAAACCACCCCGTTTCTACTCCTGCTCTCCGAGCCGGAGCCCCGGCAACCCGTTAGGCCTTCCGAGAGATAAGTGATTAGTTAAGGCGATGTTATGTTTGGTTTAGAAAAAACAATATAACATTAAATAATGTTACTTTAAGTACCACGTGATGTTACTAGACAAAATTCTAATGCAAGATAATATCCAAAACCAAAAATAGAAAGACTGGGCAAATCTGAACATAGAATTGGATGTTACCTAATCCAAAATCTCTTTTAATACCTTAACCAGTCGTGTGTCTAAACGTGAATCCACGCGAGACACATTGTATTTTCTATTGTGTCTTATATACGGGCTAAATATTTAAGGCTTTTTTTTTATTTTTTTTTTATTTTTATTTTTTTTTTAAGGGGGGAAAATCATCGAATGACTGCTCCCGCCTGGGTGAGGCGGGAGGGAGTGTCAGACTCTTACTGACTAAAAACCACCCCGTTCCTTCTCCTGCACGTCGAGCCGGAGCCCCGGCAACCCGTTAGGTTCTCCGCGACAAATATTTAAGGCTAAACTTTATGAGCTAAATATTTCAAGTTATAGAAAGACTGATAGAAAAATAGAAAACTCACCATATCCTAGACCAAGAACGGATAAACAAATTAACGCTGCTAATTTGTTCATGGTTACTTCACAAATGTTATAATTAATTGGTCGATAACAAGTCTTAGGTCAGTGTAGGTAAGATAAGCACCTGCCCAATTATCTAAGGAATTATTCAGTTAGATTACATGTACTAAGATGGTATTAATTTATAATAATTATTATCAAAATATTCCTTTTATTCCATTTAATTACCTACGTTTGACAATGAATTAGTAAATATTTACATCAGATAATAACGACTAGATATTTAATCGACTTGTCAAAAAGGTGGTAGTTCTCAATCCATCTGTATATTTTTTGTGAACTCTTTAACTATTATTATTTGTTTGTGCAAATTCAACTTCTAGAATCTATTTTGTTTATTTTATTTCAATAAGAGAACGAGATAATTTGTGATCCTATTAAATACATATTTAACACGATATGGGGCCAAAGTTTATTTTATTTTCATTTCACACCCTTTCAGCACTTTTCTCAGAAGTGAAAATATATATCGTATTCACATAATTGTTTTAATTAATAAGATATTTAGCAACAGATAGTTTAACTTGAACATAATATATCATTTGTCATTGGTAATACATGGTTAGGTATCTACTTAGATTGGACTTTATGGGAATGGAGACCTATAACATGATTAGTAAAAATTGCGTAGTTTGTTATATATTAATAATCAACTATTTCATACGCCTGTAAGATTTTGGTGGTACTGACTTAATAATGTGTCCAAAATATTTGTTTGAAGTGTGTTTTCTAAATGAAACAATTCAAAAATCATACAAAAGGCCAGTAATTACACATTTATTTATTCACTGAAGCGTTTCGTATGCCATTTAAATTAAAAACAGAAATTAAACAGTATTAATATATACTGATTAGCAGTGACCTTATCAATAGTTATCAAGATTGATGTGGTTGTCGACCCATTTCATGATAAATCAACTAATCTTTTAACTACTAATTAGGTACTTAAAATTATTGAATATCAAATGATTTCGAACTGATAAAGTGCGTTAAGGATTTTGATAGTATTTTAAATTTTTTTGCAACATAGGTGGTACTGCCATCGCAAAATAGTTTTACAAACCACAATAACGAGCACTAATCTGAAATTATATATTATACGTGTGGGGGTGTTTGTCATAGCTTAAATCCTAGACCACTAGACTAAATTCTAGATTAGGCCAAGGGATGCATAATTATATATGTATTTCATATAGCTACATGTTTAAGTGACTACACATAAGTCTCATTATTAATTTGTCAATATTTGAGCAGAGGTCGAAAATGTTATTTAACATAACGACTTAAAAACGTATTCAATCGTCCTTTGTTGTCCTGATACAGTTCCAGATTCCATGCAGTTTTAAAAAACCAATGTTTTGCCTGACTTACGAAATTGAAGGCAAATGCAGTTTTTTCTTACATCATTCTGTTCAGAACAAAAACGAAATAAGAACATTTTCAAATACCGCTTTATATCGCAAAACGAAGCTGCGCTCAGTAAGCCTGAATTCCTTAGATTTCTTAGATTAGGTTCCGCCGAATATACCTAATGTTTTACTTTTTAATTAATTAATTCAGTCTGATGCGGTAACGACTCATTTCTTATGTCTTGATTAGAGCGTATTGTTGTGATTTGCGACTGTGAGCGATTAATTATTTAATGGTGATTTGTTCTTGATATACAAAAGTACTCATACTGTTCTTTTTCCATTGCAATCATACATACAACAAAGAAAGTAGGTACCTATAATTAAAACGATATCAACCAACCCGACAATATGAATTGTACGAAATTCATGATACCTATTTGTCTCTTATGGAATCGAAAAATTAAAGAAACCGTTTATGAACCAAGAATGATATAAATATTATTATGTTCTTCTTACCAAAGGGTTTTATTAGGTTCCATTTAAACATAATTAAAACAATTCAGTTCTTAGGAAGACGATAATGGTTTAAGAAATAAACCGTTTTCCGAGCCCTGTATTTTGATATTATATCTACGATATCGACTCTACTTTTCATTCTACTCGATACTTCCTACGGATGGATGTAACCATAATCTTTTAGTGACGTCGACTAACATATTACGATTTCGATGGTTATCGATGAATAGCTTGAAAACAATCGATAAAATAATAATTAACGAAAACGAAAATGCTCTTATCTCTGATGAGATTGAGTAAGAGAGGGTTTTTCCTAATTAGTCTTTTCTACTATTTGATATCATGTAATGTATTTGTGTATGTGAATTGTATTTAGAAATAATTTCCTAACTACATTAAAAATTATACAGTTCAAGAAGGGATTGATCAAGTAGAATTATTTCCGCAGTACATGGTGTAAAGCAAAATTTAATACTAGCTTACTTCTCTAACGTTAGCTAATAATAAATACGTTTAGCGATCAGAAGTGGTTTTCGTTAAAAAAAAACAATTTGGAAGGTAGTTTCCTTTTATTACATAATTCGAATACAAATTAAATAAACATCGGTGGATGTGTTTAAATAGGAACAAAATTACAATCACTTAGAACTCAATATGAAAACAATAGCAATGAGTATTTAGTTAATTAATATGAACAATATAAGTCATAGTACTTGACTGATGTTACCGCTCCGAATGACAGCTGACAAATGGGCGAGCGTGGGTTATCTCGCGCTTTTTATAGTTAGTTTAAGATGGAGTATTGGTCATCCCTAACAATGCAACATAATTCACCACATCCTGTAAGCATTAAGGAAAACAAAACAAATACAAGTTATTTATAACAGAAATCCTAAATTAAAATATGGGCTTTATAAATTACAACGAATTCAATTATCTGATAAAATCAGATAGCTTTGTATCAGACAGTTCCGTGATGCTTTTAGCGATGAACGACTTACATTTTGAACGGTATAATTTGTTATCAATAGGTTTTCAGTTTTATTGACCAAGTTTACTAATTATCTTTGACGGGATTACCAATATTGTAATCTAAGATAAATACTATAAATAAATATCCGTTGGTAACTTTTACTGAATTAGTTTGAACAAAATGGCCGCGCTCGCGAAGTGTCTAATCGTCCTGTGCGCTGCTGTTGCAGGTACGAAAATCGTGTTTATTTTAACTTGGTATAATACTAAGCAGGCTTAGCTTGCGTAAAAATCCCCGTATGAAGTTAAATTATAAAATTATTTGTTAGTATTTAATTAGGAAGTAGTTAAGAGGATTAATAAGATAATAGCAACTGTGTGACAAGAACACAAATTGATTGATTGAGATTACGTCGACTATATAGTATCTACTTATTTACTGTATCAGTAGATAGGAAGCAAAACCAAACACTTGTGTCTACGGTTTAGTGATCGCTTAATATGAACCCTCAGGACGTTTCTTAGATACTAAAGTGATTAGCATTCATTCATTCATTGTTTCCTTTCGAACGACTTTTGTTTTTCTCTATAAGTGTGATTTCCTACAAATTTAATGAATTACCATTTAGTATAATACAATGTTAATACAAAACACGTATAACGTTACTGACCAAACCCTTTATCCAAAGTATATTGGACCTGGAAATGGTACATTAAAAAATCAAAAAATATTTTCAAAGCTAAAACTGGTTTTGAATTTCTACTTAATTTATCGGTACCAACTTTAGAGTATTTAACCAGTACTCTAAGATACTAACTTAATACTACAAAATATAGTATATTGTACCATCCATTCATTAAACAGTCATATAGATATTGTCATGTGTAGGTAGGTATAGGTTTACCACCCATTATGAGACATTATCTCTTAATTTCGCGGTCTCTACATAAAATTAAGATTCTAAAATTGATTATTACCATGTGATATAATTACGTTTCTAATTAAAGGTAATTAAACAAATAAATCCGATATGGTGCGCTTACATCTCTATACAAACGATAACTCCAATTTCAATAAACAAAATATTTTAATTATCAATTTCTTTGGTCAAATGTAACATTATTTTTGTAACATCTCACCAGTTCTATTGATATCATAAGCTGTGGTAAAATATTAAAGGTTTACGAAGACATTTCCCGAATTGCATCTAAGTATGTAAATATACTTCCAGGTATTATAAATACGACTAGGACTGTAAACAGTCCTTACTGAAACCCATGAGTGTTAAAATTGACATGACTGACGCACTGACTGCACGGTTGGCGCACTGAATAAATTCTTTGTGAATCTGGGTGTGATGTGTCTGTGGACTGGTATCTTCATATACACCCCCTCGACAGACAATTCAAGTGGGGGGCTAAATACAGAATCACTTCTCCGGCCACCGTAAGCACGGGCCCGCGGACGGCGACCATGAGTAGCTCGCCGACCGACCAGAACCAGACCCGAGTGTACCATCCGACCACCACAGATGGGGCCCAATAGGGCTGATGCCGATACGGAGCCGCGGAGAACTTGACGGGTTGCCGGGGCTCCGGCTCGAAGTGTAGGAGTAGGAACGGGGGGTTTTTAGTCAGTAAGAGTCAGACAATCCCTTCCGCCTTACCCTGACGGGAGAAGCAATTCGATAACTTTCCCCCCTTAAAAAATACAGTATCACTAAAATAGTATGTTAAAATAAATCGAGACATAGGTATACCTGTCAATGTTACCTACTTATGGAAGTCATGACTACACTTGTTTATTTTTCAGCCACATAATCGCATAATCAATTAATCTAAAATATTAGGATTATTTTCAGTAATCCTATCTTAATGTAAAACCTTCCTGTGATTAAATTTCGGCGCGATGCATTTATGATTATAATACTGATAATATTTGATATTAGAGGTATAATCAAATGGTACGAATAAATAAAATTTAGATATCCGTTGACAATGTAACACGATAGATACAGATACCTAACATTTTGTACTTATTAATGCAAACAGTATATTTTTTAATTTAAGAGAATGTATCACAAGTCCTATGACAAAAAGTGAATAAAAAACAAATATTTGATTGGTTATAATTACCCACATTTTTTTTTTGTTTTTCTTTGTAGAAAAAACCTTGCCCCACATTAGGATTTTCTCCTGTGTCGTGTGTGCGTTTACAAACATACGAGGTCACATACACAATGACATCCAGACCCGAAACAACAAAATGTGGACCACACAAAGTGTTGTTCCGTGCGGGAATCGAACCCGCGACACGTTGCATGGCATCCGGTTGCCTAGCCATCGCACCAACCGTGCAGTCATATTTTTGATAATCGTATTTATTTTCTGAATTTTCTGATACAACTTCCCAATGTTATATTGTAGCCTGTCAAGCATGTTGACCTCACTTGAACGAAGAACCACACCCTTTACTAACAAAAGTTCCATAACCAATCACATTTTATTGTATTAACTTGTACAATTTTATAGTAGTTATAAATTACATGGAATCTTATCAGGGCACTTAGCTCATTACAATACACTTTATCATCTTTACAGAGAAATCCACTCCTGTATTTGTTACTATCAATTAAACTAATCCTTTGATTAGCCACCACGATTTTTCTTTAATGGAATAAGGTAAACGAGCACGACGGATCACCTGATGGTAAGCAATCGGCGCCAGCCATGGACACCTGGAACACCAGAGGTGTTACAAGTACATTACCGGGGACATTACCTTTTGGGGATTAGGAATTTGAGGATTATTGGAGATTCAGGGGTAGTTGGAAATCCGGTAACCTCACTCACACAAACAGAACGCAAGCGTCATTTCGTCGATTTGTATTAATGCGTCAGTAGCTTCTGTCAGCGGCTTCAGTACTTTTACGTAGAGGTATTTGCCGGTTATGGTGTGTGTGTTCGTTATCAGAAGGGTCGGCAAATAATACGCGTGTTCTTGGTTCGAGGTTTATTGAACGACTGACAATAGAGTATAGTAATATGCGACTTACTGACTCCAGTGAACTTAAACAGTAACTTAACCTAATGTGTCTAAGACTAACTTAGACTATTGTGCCTACACGCTACACGTACTTTACTGCAGACCATATTCACCCCTGTTTCAAATTTCTTTGCGGTCCCTTTTGCCATTTTGTTGTGACTGAGAAACAAAAATACACACAAATGCGCAAACTCACAGACACACAGTCACATACTCACAAATCCTTCCCATTTATAAAAGCGGTTCAAACTAACGACAATCTTAGCGCTACAGTTACAGCGGGCAACCTAACATTTGACAAATATATATATTTGCGTTTTGTGCGCTAATGCTAAGATAAGGACTCACGATTTTTGCCCACAATCGTGGCGGGCCAGGGAGAAAATCCCGCAGTGAGCCCCTAACCTAACTGTGTCTAGTAAGCGAGCTGCACAATTAAGTTTGTTTTCGATGCAAGTACAATAATGATTAATAAGGTAGTATAAATATCCCCTAACCGATTTCAGTTACGGCTTACGGCAGTCTATCTCATATTATTGACACGAGCCAACTGCATTACAGGGATGCATAGGAGGTCTCTTTGGTCCCTTAGTCTTATAATCCCTTAGTCTAGTATTTCATGCAATAGGAAAAAATATGTCGTTAAATTATCTTTGTATCTGACGCAGGATTTCGAGGCCGCGGCGCGTAGGTAACGGTTGTACCAATTACTTAGCCTAATTTTATGTTTCAGCCTCCGGATTTGGCCTGGGTGATATGGATGTTATATTCCACTTGTTCCACAGGTTTGTATAACATATGTTTTGATTAAAAAATAGACAATTAGAGCAATACAAACTTCATGAAAGTCAGTACAGAATGGCAATCTATATTTTGGTGGAATTTTAGTTGGTATAGATTTACTTTCAAAACATTGCACTGTGCAGTGTAATACTTATATTTTAATTTTTTTGTTCTTGTTTAGCGGGAGCCCGGACGTAAGCGAGCCTCTGCTGCCCACCGCAAATTCAATCATGCAATCTTCATTCTCTCCCTTCCGCCCCACTGTAATAACTATCCATAACAGTGGTGAAGCCGTCACAGGAAACTTCAATGCATTTACTATTCCTGGTAACAAATTGTTAACATTAGATTAAAGAAGGTATAATAAAGACTCTTAGCCGAAGTTAATAACTGATTAATTTGATCGAGATCTATTTTTAACACTATATAGTTGTATGGAGTGTGGAGTTTGTATCAAGAACAAAAACTGAGGTTTTGGATTTATATTGTTGTTTAATTGTAAGCAATTATAGAGTATGTATCATACGTACCTATATATATATATAGGACTATATTTGACATATATAGGACTATTTCTAACAATATGTAAAAGAAATATAGTAGAGGTATTAAAAATGTGTTGTATTTTTTTTGTTAGCACACTTGGCTGCTCAAGACGTCAACTTGATTGCTGTCGACTGGAGTGCCGGCTCTTCAATGTACTCGCAGGGTCTCGCTAACGCTGTGCAATGTGGACAGCGCATCGCGTCATTCATCAACCTTTTGGCCAATATCGCCGCATACGGTCCAGAAAACTATCGTATTGTAGGTGTCGGTCTTGGTGGACATATTGCCGGTATTGCTGCTTCACACGTCACCAGCGGTGCGATCGGTCATATTGTTGGTAAGTTAAAGTTCTGCTACATTTTGTATTTTTAGTTTATTTGTACATCTATACATGCATGTAGTATAATAAAATCGTAGGTATGTCAAAACTGTACGTTAAATATTTCTTAAAAGAATACTTGGGATGTGAACTCGAGTCGATATCGAAGCCAAAAATATAGAATCACCCAAGGGGGAGAAGCTGTGAATAACTATTTAAAATCACTGTTCCACTCGGATGAAGTCGCGGGCACAGTTACTAGTCAAAATAATAATATTATGCCCGCCACCGGAACCGGCCCTCACTCTGCAGTGAGACGTGTGACAACTCGATGCAGTGACGTATCTAGTCTTAGTAGTACATTTAAATACACGATTTTCTCTTTACAGCTATCGATCCTTCCTACTTCGGATGGACTCACAACCCTAACATTCTGAGCGCCGACAAAGCTACTGTAGTAGAGGTTCTCCACGCTACCGCTGGTGTCCTCGGCTACGACTACCCCTTGGGAGACCTTGACTTTTACCCCAACGGTGGTACCTATCAAACTGGTTGCGGTGCTGATATCTCTTGCTCCCATATTTTGAGTTACGCCTTCTATGCTGAGTCTCTAACTGCTGTGGGTGGTAGCCAATTTGTTGCTACAGCTTGTGACAGTTACGAGGAAGCTATTTCTCAAACATGCTCTGGGGACAAGGGAGTAGTCTTCGGTGGCATCGGAGATAAGAGCGGGTAAGGATATTTTAATATGACTCAGTTAAGACCTACTAGAACAAATGCTGTAGCGACTAATTACTAACACGATATTTCTTACTTTTCAGTCAATCCGGTATCTATTCGTTCCAGACTAACTTCGTGCCTCCGTTCGCTCAGGGCTAATAATGAGATTTATCTATTCTGAGTTATATCTGAAAATGACAACTAAATAAATAAAGTATTTAACATCCCGTCTATTTGTTATTTAATAATAAGTGTACCACAACCCATCAATAAATATATATTTGTTGACCGAATAATGATTTTCATTTAATAAGTACTATTACAATGCACTCCACATCAATGATCATGTGTTCGATTCTCGGATCGGGTAAAGAGTAATTGTGCTTTTTTACTGTTTAATATGGTAAGACTATCAGTTTAGCAACATTTAGCAAATAGATCGTCGTGCTCAGAGAATGACTATCGATATAAACTGAATAAGGCCTACTTACACTGTATTAGGCTTTTAACAAAAAGCATTAATGTGCTTTGGTTTGAGCAGATATATTTAGATTAGGTATTGGGGCGTCGTTTAGACTTACCGAGTCTCAAATTTTTTTAGGAATATCGACAAAATACGTTTTTTGGGAAATTGCACCAAAATAACGAGGGTTTAAAAAACTGTTTGACTATTGTTATGTTTAGTAGTGAACGGGGAGTCCTCTACTCCACAGGCACTATTTAAGTCTATTTGTTATACCTTTTATGTGGTGGGTGACCAATACTTCCGGTAGCCATTCTCAACAGCCTTTAAACATATTTATGGATTCCTGTCGATTGTTTACTTGATTTTAAGTCTCTATAAAACCTTTTTTTTGTTGATCTCCTATATATTCAATAGATTAGAAACTAGGTCGCATAGAAGGTCAGGTCACGGTAAAAGTCGAATATTGGTGGCAGAAAGAGGTATTTTTGTCGTATTGGTTGTTTATGAAAGGGCATGGCCTTATACAACATGTAACGTAATTAATGCACACTTTCAAACACCCCAATTAGAATATAATACATACACTAAACTTTTAATTTAACATGTATATGCATCCTTACTACTACTGGTCTTGTCAAAAGGTTTATTTTTCTTTATTTTGTATTAAATGATAGAATTTGTATGAATACAAATAAAACTGCGATTTTTAAAGTCTTATTGCTTTGACTTACAGTCCATTTCGATTTGTTTTAACAATATAGCGTTAATATGACAATAATTTCCTTAGTTTTAATTATTTTTGGGATAAAAAATTACCTATACTAAAAATTATATAAATCGATTCAGTTAACGATTCCAAACAAACTATTTTCAGGATGTGCGTTATTTAAGTTACATGTTGTATAAACACCAAACTATCATCTACTTTTCATGAATATGGAAAGTCATGAGATCGAATTAGTCGCTCGATGTAACTCCCAGCTGGTACATTCAGAATAATCAGTTCTATTTAACTTACTAAGCAAATTCCACTTAAGACCATAATGTTTCAACTAGGTAAACGGTTGGTTCCGTGGATATATAAAGTACCATAAATCGTTCATATTATTTCTCTATACTAGTGCGTCTGTAAATACTGTAAAACTTGAACTATCTTTGATCTCAGAAGAGTGGCATGCTCCAGTTTTCATTGTTCAGTTCAAATATTTGTGATGACAACTTAAACGAGCTACACGGTGAACTCTGGCCACTTTAGGTCGAAAATAGCGTACCTTGGAACATTAAGCGTATTCATAGACGTGATTTGGATTGGTTTATTCGATGGCACATGTACCGTCAGACGCCATTGCAGCAATGGATTTTGTGAGGCGCAATGCAACCGATCACCAAACGCTCCTAACGTTCAAAAAACAATATACTGGGCATTATAAGCCATATCAAGTCTAATTCTTCTTCTCAGTATCCCAAACAGACTCGGGAATCTTTTGGTAGCACTTTCACACCAGTTACCTCCCTCGTGATACACTATCAGAAATTGCTACACCTTTCTAAAACTCTCCCTTCTGAAGCAGAGACGCTCCACTAATCACTTTGAAAATCAGCCATTTTTTTCTTAAGCGGCGAAAATCATCGAAAGACTGCTCCCGCCTGGGTGAGGCGGGAGGGAGTGTCAGGCTCTTACTGACTAAAAACCATCCCGTTCCTTCTTCTGCTCGTCGAGCCGGAGCCCCGGTTACCCGTTAGGTTCTCCGCGACTCCGAATCGGCATCGGCCCTATTGGGCCCCATCTGTCGTGGCATGATGGCTCTGTGAGGAGCGCGCGGAACGCGACGTGCCGTACGCTCGGAAAATCAGCCATAGTATTCACAATGAACACAAAAACTAAACAAAACCAACATTCAACGATCGTTGAGAGTAATTGTGAGTAATCGCTCTTACAGTTACACCATGAACTCAAGACATAAAATTTCTTCATATCTCGTTTTACAAACACTTCAGTATTTCTGCTTACCACTCAATAAAACGCTCAAACTTTTGGTTTTATACTGGACAGATGACATGTTGAGTACATAATCAAATGCTATATTTTTGTAATAATCTCTTGAGTTATATCAAGACCAATTTACGAAATTATTGATGGTGGGCTACTAGGTCCAGCAGGTAAACAAGCTGAAGGGCACGGCGGGCACATAGCTTGAAAAACTATACTAAGCCTGAAGATAAGAAAGGGTTTCAAATCTCAAATGAAGGCACGCATCAGAAAAACATTTCCACCCAAAACGTAGGCAGACGCCTGGATTGGTCGCAGGAAACCACTGGATGCAGTTGGCTTATGTTCAGCAGTGGGAGTATTGAGGCTGACATGATGATGATGACATTGTTTTGTACTTGACAGTTCCATGATACTTTTAGCGATGATCTACTTAAATTTTTTTCGGTATAATTTGTTATCAAGGGTCTTAGTTTTATTTAACAAGTTTAATAATTATCTTTGACTGGATTACCAATACCTATGTAATCTAAGATAAATACTATAAATAGGTATCCGTTGGTTACTTTCACTGAATTAGTTTGAACAAAATGGCCGCGCTCGCGAAGTATTTGATCGTCCTGTGCGCTGCTGTTGCAGGTATGAAACTCGTGTTTTTACCTTTCTATAATACAGTAACTAGTTACGCTTAGCTTGCGTAAAAAATCCCCGTATGAAGTAACGTTCTAAAATGACCTGTTAGATTTTAATTAGGACATAGTTAAGATAGATAATAGCAACTGTGTGTCAAGATCCCAAATTGATTGATTGAGGTTACGTCGACTACAGTATTTACTTATTTACCTGTGTCGGTAGATGATAGGAACTTAAAATAAGTAGTTTAGTGACAATTGCGACTGCTACGTCCCTTGGTATGATTCAATCCCTTCCGCTTCGCCCAGTGAAGGAACCATTTGATGATTTGCGATCCACACAAAGCTAAAAAGGGATGATTCTCTCTGAAGTGATAAACTCAAGTCTTTTCAAGTAATATCTCAAGTAAGAGTACCTAAGAGACTAACATTTTGTCACCGTGTGTTACAATACAATTTAGATAGTAAATATTACTTATCTGGCGTCAAGCAACACTTAGACTAAACAAGAGTATCATTCAGTTTCCCGATGTTTAAATTCTTTACAAACCATGAAATCTACAATGATTGTGGCCAGTGCATTATGGGTGTGTATTATAAGTAGCTTTATAAAGAGAAAACATTCATTAAATAATCATTATGTGTTTCGTCGTTCCGGAGGCCCAATTACCCTCCCATTCCTCAATCTCCCCAATCCCTGAATCCCCAACGATCCTCAAACTCCTAATCCCCAAAAGGCCGGTAACGCACTTGTCACGCCTCTTGTGTTCCAAGTGTCCATGGGCGACGCCGATTGCTTACAATCAGGAACCGCTTGCTCGTTTATCGGATTGTGCCATAAAAAAATGATTAATAGAATTATTTTACAAAAAAATATAGCACTTAGTTAGCATTGCACTGCACTACACTAGGTACAACGCTGCACCAGCTCTATCATGTTACAAAAAAGAAACAAATATATTTTTTTAATTTCTACATAATTCTTTTGTAACTACGTACTGTATTAAACATCATATTATTTAAATAATTAGATATATTGTCGATTCATCAATCAAACAGTAAATTAGATAATGTCATAAAAGCACCCATAGGTATACCACCCATCACAGAATATTAAAATATCTAATCTCTTAATTTCGCGTTCTCTAGGTACATGAAATTGAGATTTTGAAATTGATTATTGCCATGTGTGATAATTACGTTTGTGATTAAGAAGGATAATTAAATAATTAAAACCGATATAATGCGTCTTCGCCAATATTCAATTCCAATAAAAAATAATTTAACTATTGGTCAATAACAACATTGTTTTTTAACATCTCACCATATGTTCTATTGACATGCTATGATATAAAATATATCAAAGGTGCATAAAGACACTTCGTGAATTGCGTCCGTGTAGATAAAAATACTATTTAAACTAAGATTAAAAAAGAATGACTGAAAATGACCATTGTCAGTAATTTTTTTACATAACCACGACACGTAGTAATTATTAAGTAATCTGTGCCACGACAGTTTCAATTGGCATCGGTTGGCACGGCTTTTAAGTTTTTGGATGCTACAAATAGTGGGTTGAATGTTACAGAGAATATTCAGAATATTCTATTCATAATGCAAGTAAACCACATATTTATTGTCATTGTTACCTACCACGCGAGTCATGGTTAAAATTGTTTGTGTTTCGGTCACCGTAATCATTTAATCTAAAATATGCGGATTATTTTCAGTAATCCAATCTTAATGCAAAACCTTTCTGACATACAATTTCGGCGCGATGCATTTATGATTGTAATATTGATAAGATTGTTAATTTTTTTTTTTAGTAGGTACCGTAATATATTTTATTCATATGACAAAAGAATTGAAATAAAAAGTAAATAATAAACTAGTTATAAGTAGTTAATTGTTCATAAAAATATCTGTTTTCTTCTGACTACTACTACTGGTTTTTTTTAAGAATTTCTCAGTAGTAGCACGGAGTCTGGAAATGTGCCCGATGGAATATGGCAATAGGCTCAACCCCTATTACATGTGACGCATACATCAATAGTTAAAAGTGGGTGTTACATTGTACAGTGGCATTAGGTGCCGTAATTTCCACCTCCACCTACCCCTTCGGGGATAAAAGGCGTGATGTCAT